TTATACTATTTATTAGTTACTAAAGTATCGATGAGATAAAAGCACAATTTTTCAAGGTTATGACTAAACTGACCATTTTTGTTGCTTGTGATAAAAGCATACAGATTTCTTGGGTAAGCAATATGGGAATGCATACTAAGAGTCATTAAAAATGGTCCTGTAATTTGATCAAGTAATCTAGACTTAGTATTTGTCTTCAGAAAATATAAAAGAAGTCTGGGTGCTATGGATCACACCTGTAATTCCAACAGTTTGGGAGGCTAAGTGAGTGGATCTCTTGAGCCCAGAAGTTCCAGAACAGCTTGGGCAATATGCCAAGACCCATATCTCTACTAAAAAAAAAAAAATGCTGGGTGTGGAGGTGAGTACTTGTGGTCCCAGCTACTCATTTAACCCCACATAAGGTGGGTAGGAGGGTGAGGGTGGAGGAGGCTGCAGTGAGCTGAGCTGGCACCACTGCACTCCAGCCTGGGTGACAGAATGAGACCCTGACTCAAAAAGGAAACAAAAAAAGAATATATAAGAGAAAAATTGACAAGCAATAGGAGAATTATTGCAATGATAACTTTTAATATAAAACCAGACACAAACATCAAAAATATAAAAAGAGGTAAGCTCATCATCACTGGTCATTAGAGAAATGCAAATCAAACCCACAATGAGATACCATCTCACACAATGGTGATCACTAAAAAGTCAGGAAACAACAGATTCTGGAGAGGATATGGAGAAACAGGAATACTTTTACACTGTTGGTGGGAGTGTAAATTGGTTTAACCATTGTGGAAGAACAGTATGATGATTCCTCAAGGATCTAGAACTAGAAATACCATTTGACCCAGCAGTTGTATTACTGCATATATACCCAAGGGATTATAAATTATTCTACTAAAAGACACATACACATGTATATTTATTGAAGCACTGTTTACAATAGCAAAGACTTAGAACCAACCCAAATGCCCATCAATGATAGACTGAATAAAGAAAAGGTGGCACATATACACCATGGAATACTATGCAGCCATAAAAAATGATGAGTTTATGTCCCCTGCAGGGACATGGATGAAGTTGGAAACCATCATTCTCAGCAAACTAACACAAGAACAGAAAACCAAACAGTGCATATTCTCACTCATAAGTGGGAGCTGAACAATGAGAACACATGGACACAGGAAGGGAAACATCATACACTGGGACCTGTTGGGGGTGGGGGGGGCTACAGGAGGGTAAGCATTAGGACAAATACATAATGTAGATGATGGGTTGATGGGTGCAGCAAACCACCATGGCATATGTATATCTATGTAACAAACCTGCACCTTCTGCACATGTACCCCAGAATCTAAAGTATAATAATTTTTAAAAAAAGAGGTAAGGATGATTTGACATATTATAGCCCATCAACATAATGGGATATCATGTTCTTAAACATGGTGATTACATACACAATGTTCAATTTGCAAAGTACTAACAATAAAAACAAAAACCCCATAAATTTGGAGGGGCTACGCATGACATGTAAAATTGACAAAGTGTTATATATATATTATAAGTTTCTCAAATCATTGAAAAAAGACAGGAAACTTAATAGAAAATAGTCAACATTTATTAATAGAATCTGAATGCAGAATCTGAATGGCTCTAAACAGATAAAGTGATGCTCAACTTCAATACCTATCAGTGAAATACAAGTAAAAACAGCATTAATGTAATGTTTTACAGATAATTATATTGGATAATGCTATGTGCTGATAAATTATGGAAAATAGAATCCCTTCTGTATTGCACATTGACTGGTATGAATTCATGCACTAATTCAGGAGAAAGTGTGGCAACAGTAGTCAGTAGATTTACAAATGTGTGTGACTAACAACTGAGCAATCCTGTACTCCTGTAAATATTCCCCTAAAAAAAAATTCCTAACAGTTTCAAAAGAAACAGTATGTGTGATTTATGGAAATGTTTAGAGTGAAAGGAGTTAGAGGCAACTTAGGTGTCCACAGCTGGGAGACTGCATAAGTAAAACTTCATATACAGTCATGCTTCACTTAATGATAAGGATACATTCTTGAGAATTGTGTCCTTAGGTAATTACATCGCTGTGCAAACATCATAGAGTGTACTTATACAAATCTAAGTGGTGTAGCCTACCACACACTAGGCTACGTGTCATAGCCTATTGTTCCTAGGCTACAAACATGTATAACATGTTACTGTATTGAATATTGTAGGCAATTGTAACATGGTGGCAAGTGTTTGTGTATCTAAACTTATCTAACCATAGAGAAGGTACAGTAAACATCAGTTTTATAATCTTATGGGACCACAGCTGTATATGGTGTCCATCACCAATCAAATGCCACCATATGCCACATGACTATATATGAACAATGGCAAAGTGGGCATCAACGAACTAGATTTAAAGACATTCATGCACTGCACAAAAACATTTTAATCAGCAATGGATGACATATAGATAGTAGTTCTATGAGAATATAATGAAGCCAAAAAATTTCTAACATGATATTCTTCATAACATCAAGTGCAATGCATTAACTTTTCCATGTTTAGGTATGCTTAGATACACAAATAACAGTATGTTACAATTGCCTATAGTATTCAGCACAGTAACATGCTGTAAATGTTTGTAGCCTAGGAGCAATAGGCTATATCATATACCATCTAGGTTTGTGTAAGTACATTCTATGATGCTCGCATGATAATTAAATCACCTAAGGATGCATCTCTTAAGACATATCTCCATCATTAAGAGATGCATGTCTGGATAGCACCATAGATAGCTGCCCAAGAGCTAACATTGAATGAAAGTAATAAGAAACACAATAAGGTTTATAATACAAAAATGTTTATGCTATATAGAATACATTCACACATACACAACTATACATTATTTTTTGAATGCCATATATATAGCTAAATATAGACATATATGGAGAATGAGTTTGATAAACACACATTAAATACATTAAAATGAATGTCTACATGGGATTGAAGTAAGGATTGGAGACTAAAATAAAATAAAATAAAACCAGCTAGGGATCTTGCCCAGAATGATGATAACACAAGGCCACAAACTGAAGGATATAATCAACTCAATTATGTGTACCTGGGGTAACAGCAACAGCAACAACAACAGAAAAAAAAAAGGAAAACTAAAACATATAACTTTAAGTGGAAAAGGCTGAAAGAATGCATAATGGTATGCAAGGTAAAATAATAAAACAGAGTACAAACAAATGTTTATATGGACTTAACTATAACATGGAAATTACATGCAAACTGGAAAGTTACAGCAAATAAAAGAAATACACAATGGTATACAGACTAATCAAAACTGCCTAAGAACACATTCATGTGAGTTGGCTGGGGGAAGAAGGACCCTAGTCTCCAATTCCTCTAGACACTACCTTCTAGATGTCATAAATTTGGTTTATGGAGGGGTTATGGGCAAAGATACTTTCCAAAACCACACAGTAGAACCTCCTTTTGCTTTCTTGAAATTATTTCTTTTAGGATATTTCCCACTTCCTTGCAGGAGGCTGGAGGGTGGAACTGACCAATACTGCCACCTCCATTCTCCTACCAAGCTCTAGTGAAGAGCTGAACTGGCTAACTTAGATAATAAAGAGAAACTCTTTATTCCACATGGCTGATGAGGGAAGAAAGGGTCATGACTTACTCATCTTGATGAGAGGCATCATTGTACCCTCCACACTCCTTCCTGAGTTGATAAGGACATGATAAGGTCTAGGGGAAAGGAGAGCACTCAGGCTGGGCTGCTCAAAGACTTCCTCCTGTTGTTCCCCCAGAACCAGATGACTCTCTAAGTCAGATTCACTACTGGGGCAAGGACTAGCCAAGTCTCTTAAAGCAGCCTTGCATTTGGTCTTGTCTCCTGTGCATCTCTTGCCTGAACCCTTCAAGGGAGGGTGGCTAAAGGACCACTGCAGAGAAATAGTCCAGGTAAAGATTTAAGGTCCTGTTCGCTATCCCAGAATAAGACACAATACGGAGAAAAAATAGAGCTTGGTAGTTACAATCGAAAAAGCTATTTTAATTAGTGAAATTATGGATGATTCCCACCAAATTTTACTTTGCTTAAAAAAATATAAAATTCATTATAGCCACCAAACAAAAGCAGACTTTATTCTCTAGTGTTGACCACAGTATCATTCTAGTAATGAATTGTATTATACAAGTAATAGGTGTCCCATTGTGTAGCTAATTAGTATATTTATCCTACATAATTTTAATTGTTAGTAACACATTTATGAGTAAATGCCTTGTCTCTCAATTTGAGCATTTTCTACAAATTTGGTAGCTTGCATATCACCCAGCACAAAGCTAAGTATGTAACAGAACCAATATGAGAAATAGCAAAAATTCTAAAATGAAGGTGATTATTTCTAAACATATCATATATACAACACAATTATCATCTTTCTTTACCCTCCTATCAACCTTATTTTTTCTCTTCAAGGTTTTTGTTGTTGTGGTCTGAAGAGTTATTATTTCCTTTTCTAATTTCTCTCACCTCTGTATATGAGGCTAATTTTATTTGATCAATTTCTATTTTGAGCTGCAAAAGTGGTTCAAATCCTCCATCCTTCAGGAAATTATTCTTACAAGGTATTGTACAGAGACTTGTATATATTGCAGATGAATGCATTCATCCCCTAATCCTTTAATCATGGAAATCAAGAATGATTGTCATTTCTTTTCAGTTTTTTATGAGTTCAAGTTCAAGGAGGACAAAAAAGCATCTAATTTATATGTTCTGTACAAAAATATAGAAGGTAGTACCTTTCTTTAAAAACGGTAATTACATTAAAAAGAATATTGATCGTAGCAGTAGCAGAGGAGACTGTTCCGGTGTAATACCATAGGGCCTTGCTCCCAAACAATACCAGTGGCACAAGTTGAGGATATGAGGAACCAGCATAGTTATATAAGAATGAATTAAAGAATTTTATTACCTTAGTTTCTTTCCCCCATCTGCAATTTTAGCTTTTTGAAGATAACCTTCTTTTTCAACCATCTGCAAGAAGAATGCATATGTTAAAACTGTGACAAACTACTATGTATTGTCGGTTTGAGTAAACCTGTGCTTTTCAAGAGTCATTGCAGTGATGGAAGTTTTCAGTCATAGAACTTTATTAATAATGCATATATAGCTTATGGGAACTGCCTGCAAAGTCATAGTTGTTACAAGCTGTTAAATATCTGAAAGACAAATGATGAAGAGGAATGTGAATGATTTGTTAGATAGTGATACACCTTTATTGACTTTTCTTTCTGGGCATTGAAGTCACTTGCTTAAAAAATTGATTACAAATGGTAAAAGAAAGACAAATTGAATACCTTCCTTTATTTTACCAAGTATCCTTAGAAAAGTTCTTCCTTTCTAACCTCCCCATGTACCTTCTGAAGCCAGGATAAAGGAAGACTCCAATGGGAGCAGGTAAATAAGCTAGTTGAATCATGGACAGGCATTTAAAATAGCAACATTTTATACGTTTTGATCAATTACCAAGACACCCTGTAGTATCACAATCTCATTGTCTTCTTCCATGATGTAGGATTGTTTGCTTCGCTTATTTGCATGCACTGTACTGGCTTTCATTGCTAATACAGCTGCAAGTTTCTTGAAAATTTAATATGTCATTATAACTCTGCAGAAGTGTTTGTGGAGTTTTCTGCAAAATAAATGCACAATGCAAATTGTGACCTGTTGACTCCCTGCAAAGTCTATATGCTAGGTATTTTAATTTCTTAGCATCATTATTTCTTCCCTCCTCTGTCTGCCTCACATACCCCGTCCCAAGTCATTAGCCTGTGCTCCGTCTTTCACTCAGTGAATTGCCCACACCCTTTTCCCTGACCTGCCTAGTAACAGAGGACCACACTCCCTCAGTGTCACCCCATGTTATCCCCGCAGCTGAAGTATTCCACTGTGACCATGTCTTCATCTCAAAAATCTTAAGTATATTTAATGTACTTCAAAATTCAATTAGTAAAACCCGGCACAGTGGCAACTGTCTATAATCACAACTACTTGGGAGGTTGGAGAAGGAGAATCTTTTGGTCTTAAGAGTTTGAGACCAGCCTGGTCAGTATAGCAAAAACTCCATCTCAAAAAAATAAACAAGCAGAAAACCAAATTCTAATGTGTATGTTTTTTACTAGAGAACCTTTCCATGATTTATCTGCCATCTCTTTTAGGTGCACCATCCTGAATCTCCATTTTCAGTTTGCTCTTATCACTGTGACAGCACATATCAGATCATGTTTTAAATGACTGCTTATTTGTCTGTGTCTGCAGGCAAATAATGTGCTATGAGTCCATTGAAGGCAAAGGACTACTTTTACATGGGGATTCCTAGCTTCTGAAATATTTTGCTGGTACCAGTAGTCAAAATAATAAAATTGCTTGAACAAATAAGTAAATGAATGGATATTTAATTTTTCCAGTCTTTATAGGAAACTGGGCAAGCCAAAAAAATTATCTGCAATGCTACAAGTGAAAGAGAGAGATATTTAGAGGTAAAGGAATAGTTCCAAATCACTAAAATCACACTGGTTAAATGTCTGTTTACAAGACTCGCTCTGATATAGGTGAGAATTTTTCTGCTTCGTTTATTGTTTTTTCCTAATACATAGCACAGGACTTAGTTTTAAAATGCATTTGATGAATATGTTTTTGACCAAATAAATAATGATAGAGATAACAATGATGATTTATGAGAATCATAGCAAAGTGTTTTTTACTTATCTCCACATCCAGGAAGTTTCTTTTACTTCACTGTGTTCTCCACAAGTCTAAAGCATCTAAGGAAGCTTTCTTGGATAACTTTTAGAATCAGGGTATTTGCTGGTACCTTTTTGTTTTTGTATTTGGATACATCTATTCATTTGCTTTTTCCACATTATATTCTATATATACTGTCCCTTTTTCTTGATGTCAGGGAATTTTATTTGTCTACCTCATAAAACCCATATAATAAATTTAGTGTTTACCTCTGGGCATCACTGGTATCCATGAATGTTTGGAAGAAAGATCTTTTCAATAGCAATTAGCACCACAGAGGAGGTCCCTTTCTTCAGGAATGTATACTAAGACATTTTGTTGTGTAATCATAGAAAATGGTTATTATTTTCAGCTTTCTTCTGATTAAAAAGTACCCAAAACCTGGATTTATCTACTGAAAAACTACAAAACCTACCAACCTATCATAAAAATTGATACATGCATTCTCAGCTAATAATATTCCCCCATTTTTTCCCAAAAATTCACAAAAGACCCCTTGGTAGACATTTGTTACCCACAAAGATAAATTGTTGATGAAAATTTCTCTGAAATAGATGGGAAGTATGAAAGGAAAAAGCTAATACTCTTATAGGGAGAAATAAACATAAACAGGTTTAAGGTATACACCATAAAATTCTCTTTCCTTGAATACCTAAGTAACATTTCCCCAGACACTGTGGGACCTTTCCCAGAATACTTGAGAGTGAGGTCAAGGGCTAAATTTCTCAAGTTAAGACTCAATAAATGTGACATCATTGTCATGAATGACTGAGCCAACTCTATGGTCTTGGATCAATGCAATATACTTTCCAGGAATGACCACACAGGGGTCCCAGGAAAAATGAGAAAGAACTGAACAGCAAGTTAGTTATCTTCTCTCCTATCACTTTCCAAAGTCCAGGCTGTCTTCCAGGTCATTAGAAGAAGCTAATGACCCTTCTGCTATGTTCTATTACCTACTACACTTGCTACCACCATGCTTATTTGTTAAATGTTTACATGCACTATTCTACATGTAGTATATCTATGTCCTACTACCATGAACATATTCTCACTTCTGAGATCAGGTGTTTATTTTCCTTCATTGTCTTTTTAATACTTGATGCACACTTATTCATTCTTTTTAACACATATTTAATTAGTAACACTTCTTTCCTCTAAATGCCAGCTTCTCTGCTCACAATAGAACTGCAGAGATTAATAGGACAATTTAAATCCTCTTGAGTCTTAAACTCCTGTGAGTTCATATTCAAGATATTCCTGCTCCTCTTTTTTGAAAGACTCGGTACCATGCCTTGTTTAAGTCATCTCAGAGACTCAGGCCATCTTTTAGCCTGGATAGAAAATTCCAATTATGGTTTCTACAATGAAAGTACTATATTGTTTAGGTCTTATGCTGGCAAGTGAAGCTTCCATGAGGTAGAATTAATTACTATTCCTTGTCATCATAGTTTAAAATACGTCATCATATTTCAGACACCAGAAATCAGTTATTCTGCGAGGCTTGTAGTGCGCTGAAAGAAGTATTAGGGCAAGCAAAAAATTGCTATGCATTGTGCATGTGGATTTATAAATGGTACCTTACTAATTACTCTAATTAATTATTTCTACCCAATGTTAATCCCACGGTTTCAAGGGACAATGATCTATAAATTACAGTTGAACATGCTGGTCATCTAGGGCTCAGATGGTCTTGTCTCCAGTAATTTACAAAATTACTTAAAGCTCTAGGTCTAAGTTTAGGATTCTACATGCCAAATTCTAGGCCAAATTGAAGTTCCTTAAAGGAGTAGCAGTCCCTAAACTACGTATACTTAAGAAATGTCAACCGATCTTTAGATGCTAAATCTGGCTTCTTAAGCTATTTGTCCAATGTTCCTTAGAAGCCCTATTTAACATTAAATGGCTGGAAAGATCAGCAATTTGTTCAGATTGGACGCCAGCCAGTCTGCAAGCATTGAGGAAGTGCTCAGCAGACACAGCCGTGCTGAGATACAGATGAGAAGAATGAATGGCAGTGGGATATCCAGATAGCACCTCTTTATCAACCTACGTTGGAGGCGACAGACAAGACAGAGGAGCAGAAGACAACCTTTGATTAATGGTAACAATCATAGCAGAAAGACGAGCCTGTTAACTGTACATACAGACATTGCAATTTTTTTATGAGAATACTTTGTTGTTCTCAGATACAATTGTGAATAATAGGTTTTCATCTGCACCATTCCACCAAAGGATTCTGCTAAAATAACCCTATTTATAAATGGAAATAAACTTAATCTGTGACTTTTACAAGATTTTGATGAGAAGGATTTGGCTTTTAACACCAGAACCACATGGCCTGTGTGGCCTCATAACATTTTCTCTGCTGATGTATTTAAAGTTATTGTTCTCTTCCCCTTTTTCTGATTCTGTGTTCATTGGCAACCATCTGAATCCTAATTTGGCATCCTAGGTCCTTTGATGTAGAAAGCGGGTAACTTAAATAGTATCAGAATATTTCCTATTATGTACTGTGAGATAGACTCAAGGGATCATCATCTCAGTAAACCCTGATAATAATGATAAATATGACTTTTTTTTTTTTGGATCTACAAGGCTGAGACGGGCCCTAGCTCTAAACTGAGATGATCCCTTTAAAGTAGCATTGCCCTATGAAACCTTCTGTGTGACTGACTGACCTCTCTCTAAAAGAACTATGCATCATCCCTCTATAACTACAATCCTGGGCCACTATAATTATCAAGCAGATTTAGCATTTAATTATTTTCCTATTTAATAATGAGGCAGCTGTTATACTTTCTCTGAACTTTTAATAGATCATAGTACTTTGCTGGTAATCTTGTCTGTTTCAATGATTTCTATTAAAGAGCACAGAATGAGGACATATTTGGTTACAATATTTTACCCCCAAATGATGCTTCACTTGCTTGCTTAAGTCCCCTGCCTGCTGCCATTTTTTACTTCTCCACTATCCATACAAGTACCTACCTTATCTTTCTTTTTTCTTTGTTTTTGGTTTTTTTTTTTTGCCATTGTCTTTAGGTTTCACTCTTTCTCTTTGGAACTCATTGCTTATATTTTCTTCTCAATATTCACTTATTCTTATATTGGCTCTGCCATTCATGCTATATTTGATTTGTTCATTAATCTGTGAACTCACAGTGGACATAATCCATTAAGAACAGAATCAAAAGCAGAAAAAAAATCCCTTAAAACTCCAGTTTATC